CCTTGCTATAAAATTTTGATAACGCTCACACTAGCCAATCATTTGTGGAATTTAATGGTTCATACAGTAATCTTTGCAGGACCTTGCCGACATTTGTAAAAACACACTACCGTAATATACCATAATTTCTATAAATAAATGTATCTAGTACTACATTTAATTTCTAAGACTTCTGCAGCATTCTACAGAACAGCAAACTGACAACTTCATCTAACAGGCACAGCAAAAAAAGGAACGACTGTGAAGTAGGGATGTTTAATGTGAAGAATACGTCCTGCAATTGTCTCTGGTAATTTAACGGAAGGAGATTGGAAGGAGAACTCCTTTCATACCATTAAGATCAAATCTGCTGGATACTCCATTTGCTGAGCAGCTGCTATAAACAGCATCCTATCCTGTGTATTCAAATAAGCTGTATTAGTAGGAATACACAGAACTACTTATTTGGGGAAAAGAATGAACAAAAAGACATCCTGGTACATTGCTGTTCTATTCTGCCTTCCATCTAAAGCAAATATGTCCATCTGCTTTTGAGAACTTATCCAGCACACTGGTATCTCAGTGTTCCTTGTAACACAAAACAGCATTCCTTCTACATATTTGTTTCTAAAAAGGTGACCACAGCTTCATTTGGTGAGGGAAGCAGTTTTGCATATATGTGAGATATGCACTGAGAATGCTTCACACAAAGAATTCCTCAGCAAATGCAGGCAAAGCAACATCTAGTTTCCAGATCTCAATCTTGTTTCCAAGGAAGATGGCACAAACTTGCTCAGGCTGGGCAGAAGTCTAGACACCCTGGTAACAACACTAGGACGCACTCCTGAAGCTAGGCATCAGTTCAGCAAGATGCTACAAAAGTTTAGGATGCTGACAGCTGTGGGTTTTTTTTTTTTTTTTTTTTTTTTTTTTTTTGTGCTTAAATTCTCATTTGGATTGAGACTCTACATTCATAACCATTTAAACACTTTAAAAAAAATTAAACATAATCATATTAAAATACAGGTATGATAGTTGCCATATGAATATGAGATATATTTGCATAGTATGTGATTGTTCATTATACAAATGCTCTTATTTCCATACACTTAAGGAACTACTTCAGATGGGCAGCACAGTTTCCCCCTTTCTTTGTCACAAGCAGGGATTTCTTGAACAAAATTCCTGCTTGTTTACTTCACAGAACTTGCCTGATCATGAGCTTCTTTAGCAAAACAAAACAAATGAAAAACACATAGCAGTACTAATTATCTTTACCAGCTATTCTTCTTCTCAGATCAGTCCCACGCTTTTAGTCACTGTACATAATGTGACAAGAGAAGATGCAGAACTATTTATTAATAATAGCAATCACTGAAGAACTTATTCACTTCCTTCCTGCAGGTTTGGGCAGGTTCTCTAACAATCTTGTTGTAGTTATTTCACTGTGATGGTGATGGTAAAGATATGCTTTAACAAGATTTGTGAGGAAAATTATGAATTATGGGGAGGAAAAAGCATGCTTTCAGGTAGGCAAACCTGCTCAAACCACAGGGGAGACTCTTTTGTCTGCAGTCATGGAGACATTTAAATGACTGATTCTCTTCACAGCGAACCACAAAACCGAGAGTCCGGTGCTTAAATCACATCCATTTGTTTGATATGCATATCACAATGTCTTCTCTAAATGACAGAGCAGTGAGCTCTGTTATGAATTTTTACATAGTCAGGCAGAAAGCCTGAAATCCTTTCCATCAGTTTCCTGAGATCCTTTCCAAAGGTTTTCCCAAAAGGAAAAAATAAAAAGAAATGGAAAGTAGGTTTGCAGCTTATCACCCACAGAATCACTGTCTGGAAAGCATGGCTCTGTGTGTAGCAAACATATGCACGAGAAAGGAAACATGGAGGAACACAATTAACACCTGGAACCTCAAACTCCTTGACAGTTGTGAACTTAGTCTCCCCAAGCTTCTGAACTTATAAAGGAATATAAGCAACTGAACACTTTGTGCAGTGGAAATGGAAGGAAAAAAAAAAAAACAACAAACAAACACCTATCACTCAAAACCACAAGTGTCGAGAGAAAAATTTAATTAAATTAAAAAAAAAAAAAAAAGAGAACAGTGGTTTATTATATATCTCTTTTAGTAAGGTATTCTACTAATACCTTATACTAATAGGTATACTATATTTGGAAAAAAATTGTAAGATCTGGTATTTCTAGGAAAAAAATAAAATAGAGATAAAACTTTGTGTGAACACCTACAAGATAAAGGAATGGAAACACAAGATATGAAACTCAGCCTTATTCTAGAAGAAACTGGCTGAAGGCATCCATTGCACGTGAGAGAAAACTGAAAAAGTACTGTGAAAACTGAAATGAGTAATGTGCATTACCTATATGGGAAAATTGAATTCAAGAAATACCTATGAGCAAAAGTTCACATATTAAGTTGAAAAATAGTGGCAAAAGTGACAGACAAAAGAAGAACATGGCTGCAGACCTTCCTATAAAGTGCAGCCAAATTGGGCAAGAAACTAAGCTTAATATCTTCTGCTGTTACCCACCTGCTTCCACCTGTAATTCACAAAGTTACGAGTTCTGATTCTCAGTCTCTTTTAATTTGGAAAAAATGGCATTTTATTTCCCTGGTATATTATACTACTCTGCAGCTGCAAGATAAATTCTAAGTAGGTTATACAGAGGTGGTAAAGCACAGTAATAATATGTTGACATTCAATATAAACATTGCAATTAGATTGCTACAACTACAGCCAGCAAATGCTTTGGATACCAGGCTAGCAAAGCAGTAAGCACAAGGCTGTTTCATCATAAGAAAATGGACACTGAATTCAGTGGAGCTAACACTGTTTATAGACCTCACTGAATTGCAGCCTTATTGAATGGGTCTCACCATATAAGCTGTGTGACAAGCCACAAACCATTAAAGTGTAGAAGGAGATTTTAAAAGAAGTTTAAAAATTTTGAATGCAAGAAATTTAATCACTAAAGTTCATATCATAAACAGGAATATGACTTGAAATATACCTTCTATATGGTATTTTCTGTCCTCTTTAATGTCTGAGCAGTGGATGATTTCTCTGTTTTCAGGACAAGATTGGTTTCAGGAAGATCATCTTGGGCAGACTGAACTTAGGGTAGGTTTTTTTTTCTTCTACAAAGTTATATTTGTATGCATATTCTGATTTCTTCAGTGTATGAATGTTTATTTCTCAAGCTTTTATCTTAAACAAGATGTTTCCGTTCTTGTTAAGAGAGGCTTGTTGGCTTGTTCAGCTTTTGACCAAAATAAATTTACAATCCACCAGAACATTTATAATTTGCAGTTTAAGGAATCTTTCACAGAATCATAGAATATCCCAAGTTGGGATGGATCCATAATGGTCATCGAGTCCAACTCCTGAAATACATCTATCCTATCTCTGAAATATTCTATTGAAGGCATGATTCACGCTAATTTTTTGTACACAAAACTTAAGATAATGCAAAATGAAATTAAATAAAATAGTAAATAGAACAGTAACACATTTCAAAAACCGCAGCAAGGAAATTTGAAATTTTATAGCAAAAATTATGTCATCCTCCTTGACCAATGATTCATTTCACAGGCTGGCAGGAAGCAGGGATGATCTAGCACTTTTCCAAATTAGTCATAACCCCCATGTCAACAAGCCAAAAGATAAAAATAGATAATACATGCTGTGAGTGTCACAACTATGAACAAGACCACAGGGATCTTTTAAAATTCAAGAGACAGATACATAAGTTTGTAATTTGAATCATAGAATAGAATCATACAATCGCTTAGGTTGGAGGGCCCTTAAAGACCATCTAATTCCAACTACACTGCCATGAGCAGTTTTGCCAGCCACCTCTTGTGCCAGCACCTCAACACCCAGCGTGTAAAAAAACTTCTTCCTAACATCTAACCTAAATCCCCCCTTTTAGTTCAAAGCCATTCCCCTGTGTCCTATCAGACCGTGTAAAAATCCATCCCCTCCTGACTGCAAGCTCCCTTCAAGTAATGGAAAGCTGCAATAAAGTCTCCCTGGAGCCTTCTCTTCTTGAATTATAACAATTTCCATTCTGATACTTATTTTTGTATGCACACATACTTATTTCTCATTATCATTGAATGCTCTCCATACCAAAGTCAGTAGACTGTGCATTTGCATGCAATACAAAGGAAATGCGAAACGCTACTTCCGTAATCTTACACTGAGCCTTACACACACTCCACTCATTGAAGCGAGGACTAGGAGCTGTAACCAGTGTAGAACTGGGCCAGAACAAGGCATGGAAAAAATTAGGAATTCCTCCCCCGTTTTGACATGACCTCTTCCCAGTGACTTGGCTCACACACCAATTTTCCCTGGCTTTCAGTATAATCATCAACAGCTCCTCGGCCAGAGCTACTCAGTGCTGTGTGAGGGGCCTTTCCAGCCAGCTCAGCGTGGATATACCCCATCACCTCATCGTAGGCTGCAGCGCTGAACTCTGGGGCTCTTTCCAGCCAGACATCTACCCATTTGAAAACAGAGGCTACAATCACGCGTAGCCGTCTGACATGCTTGGGTGGGGAGTGCTTGAAGTTCTCCGGCGCGCTCGGGACTTGCAAAGCCTTCCCGGAGCCGACAGCTCGAAGGCAGGTGGGCCAGGAAACCGCCCTGCCACCCGCAGCGGGCGCCGCCACTCCTCTCAAACTTTTTGAGAGAATGAGGAGGGATGAGAGAGGACAGCAGCTCTGAAGGGGCTCGTGGGACCTCTCGGGGCGGAAGCAGCGCCGCTCAAATCGGGAGAGACCGAGAGCAGAGCGCCGGAGTTCCGCGACACCCAGCCGGGCGGCGCCTCCCCGGAGCCGCGCCCGCGGCGAGGGCCGAGCTCCGCGCTCCCGCCGAGCGCCGAGACCGCGCCTGCCCCCGCCCCGCCACCCTCTGCGGGCCCGTGCCGCAGCAGCGGCGGGCAGACCCCGCCCCTCCGCCCGGCGTGTCGCGCAGCGCGGCTCGGCGCGGCTCGGCGCGGCACAGCACGGCGTAGCCAGGCTCGGCCCGCCCGGGCTCTCCCTTGCCATTGTCTGCCTGCGCGGCTATTCCTGCTGCGGGTGGCGGGCGTGCGCGGCGGCTCGTGATGCTGAAGGGCTCCGCGTCCCCTCCGAGGCAGTGGCAGCGGGCGCGGGCTCGAGCTCCGGGGCGCAGCCACCCCGCCGCCTGCTGAAAACTGAAACTTTGCGTCCCCGCCGCTCCCTCTCGTCCGCCTCCGCCCCGCCGCCCTCCATGCGCTGAGCGGCCCCATGGACGCCTTCAGCGCCGCCAAGGCCAAAATGGGAGCGAAGAGCGGCGGCGAGGCGGCGGCGGCGGCGGGGTTGGCCGCTCCTCAGCCCGCCGCCACGGCCCCTAGCCCCGCCGGCCCCGGCTCGACCTCGGCGCCCGAGCCCGCCGCCTACAAGCTGGAGGACCTGGAGACGCTAGCCACCGTGGGTGAGTACGGAGGCGGCGGGAGCGGGGAGGAACAAAGAGCCGCCCAGGTGCTCCCGGCGGGCGCGGCCTCCGCTCCGTCCCCTTCCCGTTGTCGCCGCGCTCCCCCTTTCTGCCCGCAGCCGGGCGCTCAGCGCTCGCTCTGAGGCGGCGCGGCAGGAGTTTGGGCCGTTAACGGACGACAGGTGGTGCTGGGGCAGCCCCCTCCTTACACACGCACGCGTCCGTGGCGGGCGTTGTGCCGCCCGGCATTGTGGTACGGGCAGCGCGGGCGCGAGGTGCGATTCGGCTCTGCAGCCGAGGAGCGCTAACGCCCGGCTCGGCTGCGTGCGGGCGGCGCGGCTGCCCTCCGGTACAGAGCTGCTTCGGCTGGCTTAGCTGCGTTTGGGTGCATCGTGATAGAAATTCATCATTTAAATGCAGCCGTAGGACCGGTGAGAGATCAAACAAGTTAGCTGAATGCGTTTAAGTGTATTTCAAAGCCCCAGCGTTCTGCTGGCCTGAATGCTGATGCGGAGGTGTTTTGCCCTAGAGCTGAATGTTGGTGAAAGGCAGTGTTACATCCCACATCTGCCACACTCCTGTGATCAGCAGCGCTGAGGTGTAAATGCGCACACTTAGTAACCTGACACATCCACCGTCAGTAGTGATGCTTTCATATCAGTGTAACATCTGCCTGCTGTGCACATACAGCTGGTTTTGTGCGTGCTTTGAACATCCGAAGGTTCAATGGTACAGAAGTTGGACGTTTTTCGTTAGAGATCTCTGGAGGGATTTTGGATAGATTTATTGTAGCAACTGCTGCAGATATGACTTTCACTTCAGCTCTCTTCAGTCAGTGAAGTGGATTGAAATCCTTTCTTAGTGCAATTCGTGGTTTGAAAAGGTCTTTAAAAATGGAGTTGAAAAGGCCTGGGAGCGTGGTGATTGGTGAAGACAACACTACCTTCTCTTGAAGTGTGTTGTTTTATGAGATAATATTTCCACGTTGAAATGTCAACAGGCGTTTTATTGAGACATTAATTGAGATTCCTAAGAGTCTGCCAGAAAGGTCTGTGATGCTGTTCCTCTGCCAGGAGTGGTTCGTCTCGTTTGTTACATCACGGCTGGTTGCTGTGGATGCAGTTGTCATCACCAAAGATTATGACTTCATGTGGAGCACAGTCTGTGGGAAAACACTGATTCTTAAAGAATGCAGTAGTCACAGAAATGTTGCTGAGGCCAATGAAGAAATTTACCTTGGTTGCTCCAAAAGTAATACCTCCTGTTTGTTTCCAAGAAAGCTACAACAGACAGGAAGAGCACAAAAACACTTTAATAGAGGAAATTCTCAGCTACAAAACACTATTTTTTAACATGGTCGCCACCTTTAGCTATGCATTTCTGCCAGCAATGAGCAAGAGCCTGTGGACTGATCTCATAAAAATCTGCACCAGCAACGGTAACCTACTGTCGTTCCTGCTGAAATGCACCACCCATTGCCTCACTGTGCTTGCATCCACTGTTTGGTCTCCATAAACATTCAGCAAGCATTGAGGAATGTCAGTGGGTGCCATTTTTTCCACATGGAGAAATCCAGTTCCACACCTTTGCTTTGTGCGCACTTCCATGTCAGATGCCATTTGGACAGACTGCCCCTCTGCTGCCATCTGTTGTGCGACAGCAAGATGCAACAGGATCTTGGTAGGAAGGTTCAACCTCTGCTCCCCTAGCATCAACATCCAGCTGCGATGTTGTGGCCAGCATAATAACATAAGAGGCATTACTGTCAGAGCATAGAAATAATCCTCTTGATGGTTTGAAACAGCATAACTTGTTAGGGTGTTCTTTAAAGTGCTCCTTAGAGTTTAAGAAAGAGGAAAGTTTATTTCAATGAAGAGAAACTGCTCGATGTAAAGATACAGAAAGAAAAAAAAAAATGTAAAAAGGTGCAGGCAGCTACTTCTGATAACACTAGCAATACTGAAAGAACACTCTCCCTACCTGCTCTCTTTTCTTTTTCTTTTATTTTTCTCCCCTCTTCGTATTTTTGTAACTGTCCGAGTAGATGAATATTTGTGTCTCTTCTGGACTTTGGCATTTGTTGGTGGGGAAAAAGACAAAACGTAAGATGTGATGTCGCATGTCACAGATGTATGCATGAGGTCTTACCTCAAACAAGAAGCTGAGCCTGTCTATTTTCAGTTGGTTTTGAAGTAGATTTTAGAGATGTCTGGGTTCCTTGTTACAGGGCTGTGACAAGGGAAGAGACCTCGCTTCTGACCAGGAAGCAGTTGGCAGCTTCAAAGTGATACTGAAAGTGAACACATCTGTACCAGCCTCCAAGTGGCAGAGTTTGTGAACTTGAAGATCTGGTGTCCTCCTGAAAAGGCTGTGATGCTGCTGAGATATGGGTCAGCAGCTCTGTATGTGCCTATTGAAATGCTGCCCTGCATCTTGTAGCTCGATCAAAGCTATCAAAGGTATATTGCAGCTTAAGAAACACGTTTTTGCTTGGCTTAAAGTTTTGTTGTTTAATAAGTTAAATATAGTTTAGGTTTATATCACGTACTGAAAGAGTGTATCTACTTTTTCTGTTCATGGTTAACTTAGTATTACCCTATCCTTTTATTTGATCTCCTTGTGGAAGTACAGGAGATGATTGTACTGTCATCAGTTTCATTACAGCAGCCCAGAGACTTGTGTGCAGCATGACTGCTGTGAGAAGAGCAGCCACTGTCTTTCGAATGTGTGCTCGAAAGCTGTGTGTGCTCTGAGATATTTGGAGATAGCTGTGGCATGAAAGGGGACACCCAGAAATTACAAGACGGGAAGTTCCGGTATCTTTCCTCCTAGGATCACTGTTGCTTGTAGATATACTCAGGGCTAGAAGGGCAGCCTTGGAAATTATCTGGGAAAGTGACAGTCTGGAGGTAAGCTCTGTGCTCCTGCTGCTGTGCGTGAGTAGGACATAAGCTAAATAAATTACATTACTGTCAGTGATAGCATGGTCATCCTTGGGATTGAGCACCTCCTCTTGGAGGATGCAGTGAAGTTGTTAATAAAAACAAAAAGTGGTTGGAAGTGGTACTTGCTTGGAAGGCAACAGCTGCTGGCTTTAATATCCTCTGTAGGCTGAGAGGATTACAGTCTTTGCTAATGTGACCACTGCAGTGCAAGCTACCTTAGAACTGCTGCTCTGACATCGGTTGGAAATTAGGCCTGGTTTAGTAAAGAACACCTTATGAAGGAAGAAAGAGAGCAAAAAGAGAGTAAGCATAGTTTTGCACAGCGATAGGTGGGGGGCATTTATCTCCCCCTAAACATTTCTGGGCTTTGATATTTGTAGGCTCTCTGATAAAATGTATTGAGAGCAGAGACTAGTGTATGCTTTTTGGGCACTACCCTGAGACTTGGTCTGTAAGGTAGTTGTGAGTTTGGGGCAGGTACCAGGAGTGGGGTGCAGAACTGGTTTCTGGCACGAAGAACAGGAAGAATATTTCTTTAAGGTTACCTTCTGAGAGGTTGAAGTTGTGGCTTTGAGTTTTTCAGGTACATCATTATTTTGTTGGTTGGTGGTTTTTTTTTGTTTTACTTGTTTTACTTTTTTGTTATCTTATCTAAGAAGGTACATGTTCTGCCTTTGGAACTAATGAAGGTGCCTTTTTTCCACTTCTGTTTTTGAATTGTTTTCCTTTTCGGTGGAGGTTAAGCCACGTGTGTTTGCTTATTATGTTCAGAAACTGCTGCTCAGACTGTAATGAAATATTTGTGAATCAGTTGAGCTTAAATGATGGATACTCATCTGTACCAAGGCTGTGGTAGTACTATGCTGCATAGAAGCAAAAATGTAGATATCATAGCTACATTCACTGAAACTTAACTGCTAAAAGTTCACGGCCCAGCCATGCTTGAGTTATCAGTTTCAAAATACTGGTAGGTCTGGTGAAAGAGAGAGACTGAACAGTAAGTGAATCATCCATGGCTTTGCTGGGCTTCTCACAAGGGCACCCTTCCTGTTCCAGGTGCTGGTGTCTGCAGCTGGACGCCTTACGCATACTCTGCAGATACTACTTTTTTAGTTATGTCATAGTGAAGAAATAATGTAGATAAACTAGAGTAATAGGTACAAGTGAAAGAGATTTAGAAGCTATTTCTTTACTTTCAGGCAAGTGAAAGCGAGAGAAGAAATCTTATGTTCCCAAATTAAACATAGGTTAATGCAGGAGTAGCAGGCAGCTTTGGATAGAGGAGGGTGACAAACTTACTCTTGCTCTCTCTCCTTACTCTTGCTCTCTCTCTCTCTCTCCTGCCCATTTTTTTTAAGTGCAGTGAATTCCATAGCATACATTTTGAATGTAAATCAGGTTTTGTAAATCTATTAAATTGATTGAAATATTTTAATAACAACATCTTCATTTGAAAAGATTCTTTTGAACAGCTGTTCCCATTATGTGCTTTAAATGAAGCAAATGCAGAATAAAAAATTGGGCAAACCAGTATTGCAATTTTTCTGAGCATGGGAAGATTTTAAAAAGTGCATGGGAAAAGTGGGAAGTAACATATTTTTAAATACTTAATTTCAGTGAGTTCACAGACAAAATATGTTAGCCAAATCTGTTTTAAATGACATTATACCATAGCGACAGTAGGTACAGATCTGCTGCCTAATGCTGTGAGAAGAACCTGCTTGTGTATATGATGTTACAGGACTATTCTCCTCCTCTGTAGTCTAAATGAAAACTTCCACACGAGGATGAAGTTTTTGTTACATCTCTGGTTTCTGACTAAGCCTTGCTAAGTCTTAGTTTTGGTTTTGCTGCTGAGAGCAGCTATTTTGAATACTATTCAGGGAGGTGTGAGAACTTTTTTTTTTTTTTCTGTTTTGTCACCTTTACTTGATATTGCAATGATAAAAAATAATCACCAATTTTACTTGGCAATGTCCTTAAATACCACAAGTTTTGAAAGAAAACATGGTCTGAATGTTGTGACTGTAATGGTGACCTGAATTCACCGTCGCA